GTGTGTAAGGCTGGACAAACTGTGGAAGGCATCATTTCATTTGACCATTAACAGCCTCTCACACAGGAAATACCTTGCAGGAGGGACAGGACTTAGTGATGCACACTATATGACAGATACTACAGCTCTGCTACCAATTGTGGGAGGTGGACTGGACTACAGAGGACATAGAACAGTAAGTACTTTGCAAATAACCTTTCAACCTCTACATTCCCTAAAAAAACATCCTTTTCACTAACCATAAATTAAACTCATCACAAAACCTAAATAATCCTGTCTAATCCCAATGTCAATGTCTAATTTCGTAACAAACCTATTTACCTTATCCGTAGGTTAAACACCCCAATACTATGTTTAATTCCACTCCAACACTAATCCTAATCCTAAAATACCCCTAATCCTAAACTCCCCTTTTATCACAACTATAAACCCACCCTCAAGCTTTTAATCCATTTAACACCCTATTTAATCTTACTCTGAAATTAGCACCCTCTTTTACCCTATCAATTTCTAATTTCTTTAACCCTGTACTATATGCATTTATACAGCTCTATATATATACACACACACACACACACACATGTGTGTGTGTGTTTTCAGGGCTGCCATCAGAAGTTTTGGGACCTCTTACACAGCTCAAAGTCTAGGCCCAGAGTCCGCCAACAAGGATGCAGAGTGTAAGTGTGTGTAGTAGATGCAGAATGTGTGTAGTGGGTGCAAAGTGTGTGCGTATAGTGGATGCAGTGTGTATTACGATAACATACAACAGTGAATAAATACAACAGTGAATAAATGTGTGTGTGTGTGTGTGTTCAGGGCTGCCATCAGAAGTTTTGGGACCTCTTACACAGCTCAAAGTCTAGGCCCAGAGTCCGCCAACAAGGATGCAGAGTGTAAGTGTGTGTAGTAGATGCAGAATGTGTGTAGTGGGTGCAAAGTGTGTGCGTATAGTGGATGCAGTGTGTATTACGATAACATACAACAGTGAATAAATCACTAAATATATAGGTGCTACTATCACCTTTGTGGGCCACACAAACCACAACGGAAAATAAGTGAATAATAACAGATAACAAATTGGTGAGAGCACACACAATAAGAAATACTACCCACACTGCAGTCAATCAATCTGGAAAAGACCAAAAAAGAGAGACATAGGGTAGTATAGTCTGACACAAAAAAATTTAATTTAGGTGTCAATCTCACTCACATAAAAAGAGCCATTTGGTTAGCTGGCTCAAACTGAATGCCTTGAATACATAGCAGGACCTCCACTGGGAACTTCTAATTTCTTGATGTGTAATACCTCCAGGACGCAGGATATCAGGGGGTAACACTTTTATTCTTCAACAGATCTTGAAGTAAATTAAAAACATAAATATTAAAATAAGTAAGTCCCAAAATAACAGTCCAGTCACTGACGCGTTCCGAAGTGATGTCAGTATCCAAGGCATCTCGGTTAAAATACTTAAGTTTGGTGCCCTTTCCTTCCTACGCTGGAGCTGCGTCCTTCTGCTTCCGGTCCTGACGTCGGAACGCCTTCTGCGTCATTACGTTCCGGCGTCATGACTCATTTCCGGTTCCGGTCACATGTTTGCATCTCGGACGTACAGACGCACCAATCCTGAGTGGCGTCTTTGCGTCACCACATATTTTAATAACAGTACCTTACTAATTAATACATCTAATAAACAATAATATTAAACATAATTTCTTATACTTTTATACATATTAAAAATAAACCCATTATTATTATGTGGTTTAAAAAGAAGAACTACACAACCAGACATATAGATAAAAGGATAAAAAAAAACATAACATCATATATATTTTCTAAAAAAAACAGAATAATACATAAGTATAAAATATAAATTATTAATAAGAAAAAACATGAAGGGAACACATAAAAATGGTAGTTATATATACTGGTTAATCTCAAAATCAACATTTAGACCTTGTGGTATCATTGTATCCAATTCAAATATCCATCTCATTTCCCTTAAACCCAAAATGTGGTCACTATCACCTCCTCTCCAGTGAACTTGAGTTATATCTATCCCAATAAAATCTATTCCATTTGGATCTCCATTATGGGCCTCTAGGAAATGTTTGGATACACTGTGGTTAATAAATTTTCTCTGTATATTATAGATATGTTCCCTAATTCTTGTTTTTAAAAAACGTGACGTCTTGCCTACATATTGAAATCCACATGGGCAAGTCAACATGTAGATTGCATTTTTACTAGTGCAGGTAATAAACGATTTTATCGGGTATTCTTTTTTTGTGACTAATGAAGAGAATTTTTCTATTTTTCTATTCTTTTTATTTCTAAACTTGCATCCTCTGCATACACCACAATAATGAAACCCTTTACTACCCTTTAAAAAATTACCTCCTTTTTGAACTTTTTCTTTTTCTAAAAAACTTAAAATCTGTTTAAAATTATTTGCACCTCTAAAAATACATTTCGGCTGATCATCTAAAAGTGGAAATACTTCATGATCTTCTTTGAGTATATGCCAGTGCTTTTTAATAATTTTATGTAAAGCATAATTGTTGGAACTAAAGTTAAAAATTAAAGGTATATTTTCTTTTTCTTTTATGTTTGTCTCGTTTTTTCTTTTACTTTTATATTTCAAAAGGGGTTGTCTTTCTTTTTCGACAATTTCTTTTTCTACTTGCTCTAATTGACGAACATCATAGCCCTTTCTATAAAATTTTCGTTTTAAAATATCTGTTTGTTTAAAATATTCCTCTTTCTCAGTACAGTTTCTCTTCATCCTTAAAAATTGACCCTTTGGTATATTCTCCAGCCATGGTTTAAAATGACAGCTTCTTAAGTCAATAAAACTATTAACATTCACTGTTTTAAAGAAGGTCTTACTTTTAACCAAATTATCTTCTACATATATATTTAAATCCAGAAAATTAATCTGTTGAGGGTTAATTTCATAAGAAAGACTAATATTAAAAACATTATTATTAAGAGATAAAATAAATGATTCTAGAGTTTCCCTACTACCCTTCCAAACAATAAAAATGTCATCTATATACTGTCTATATAGGACCAGATTTGCCCCAATGTCCTCTCTGGAGAAGACATTTTTCTCCTCCCAGAAGGACATAAAAAGATCAGCGTAGCTTGGGGCAAATCTGGTCCCCATAGCCGTACCCTGGGTCTGAAGGTAAAATCTATCCTGAAACCAAAAAAAAATTATTCTTTAGAATAAAATTAATTCCCTTAATTAAAAAATCTATCTGAAGGTTATTCATGTCTTCCGACTTTTCCAAATAAAATCTAATAG